TATTGTTAAGTTGCATGTATGACCGATACATATTTTTTTTAGAGTTGGAACTGACGGGATACTTTGATAATGAAGGACTTTCATGTCTCGAAAATCTAGAGAGCCTGGAACTGTTGAAACTTGAAACAAAATTTTATAATATAGAAGTTCAATGTTTTTGCAAAATACTGCAAAAAAATAAACGGATGCGTGAATTATATTTGAACTGTTGTCTACTTGGGGGGGGATTGTAGTGACCCAGTCGACACCGTTGCAATAGAGTTGGGAAATTCGTGTCGAGACTTGCAAATATTAACTTTATATGATACCGATGGAATTACATCGAATTAATGCCCTTGCTAACTGTAAGAATTTACGAACAGTGGATCTTGAAATGTATGTGCTACATTCTCTTTCAAAATATATATTACGTATTCTTTATTAAAATTTGTTTCTCTTGCAAGATTCTTGAAAAAGTTACTTTGATTTTATTCTTGTGATTGAAGTTCTGTAATAATTATATGGTTTTTGTTACAGAATGGATTACCCGAGAGTACACTTTGATGATAGCTTAAGCAGATTGCTTTCCTCCTGTCAACTGCTGGAAGAAATATATTTGAATAATATTGTCCTCACTGATCGCAATTTGAAATTACTGGCGGAGTGCAAAAACTTGAAACGTTTACATCTGAAAAACGTAGAATTTGTAACACCTGATAATGTTTCCATTATTCTTGAGCAATGTTCTAAATTGCAAAAGTTGTTCCTCGAAGTCCACAATATTAGCCGCAATTTGATTAGGCAGTGGCGGAAGAGTCATCCACATGTGTATATATACGCGTCAGGGGGAATATATATGTGAATATTTCTATCGAAATTGATTCAAAACCATAGAAACTTATTTATACTATTGGCATAAGTGTCAGTTCATCAAAGTACAACCGATTTGATAGTAAGTGTGTTTAAATTCTTACTAAAATACAGTACAGATGTCATTACCAAATATAATAAACAGAGACTTATAGATTATTCTTCGAAATTCGACATAAAAACCAGTAGAAAACGGATGCTATTCAAAATGATACAAATTATTAAAATCTCGTCAGTAAATTTCTTCTTATAACTTATTAATAGCAACTTATTCTGACTGTTTGATTGAATCTGTTTACATCTTTTGTGTAGATCCTCTTTCTCTTATTTCTCCTGGGCAGTTTAACCTTACCCTTTTCTGGCCAAATCCATTCTGGCGGCAAAGCCATCAGAGACAGGAAAGAGAAATACTCCTTCTATTGCCGGTTGATTACAGCCGGCAGATGAATGCAATAATTTTACGCTTTTTCCCGAAACACGACCGCGTCGCGAAGGACCATTCATATATAGCAATTAAATTAATTAATTATTGAATATTACTAACGTCTAAAATCTATTTACTATCTTATATAATATATATATATTCTAATTTACATACTTGATAATTTCTTCGATTATGAACAAAAAAGATATTAATTAGTCAGCTCTTAATTTTAAAAAAAGCTTTTATAATCAACCGCGTATAATTCAAACTGTAGTCGCGAATAACAGGAATTTTACTTTAAATATAGACAGTACAAGCATGCAGGATTTTAATAAAAATGCGAAATAAATGAGTAACAATTAATAAACGATTGAGAAAATATAAGGCCCATATTTTCAATTTATTGATTCGAATATCGAGTCTTGCCTCAAGCAGGTGAGAAATAAAGAATTAATGACGTGAGATACGAAAGGAATAATAAATTTCCCGCACAATATTGCAATATTTCGTGCACTTGAACGAACATAATTTAAATTTTGATAGCTACATTTCGTACTATATATTACATATATTGTTCGTAATCCTTCCAAAATTATCTTATGGTGTCTTTTTAGATAATAATTATATTCCTCAAATACAAAGATTCAAAGTAATGCGAAATTGATCGAGTTTAAAAAGTAATCGCTACAAAAAATTTTTTTGTTTCACGAGATGACCTTTATCTATATTGGATATTGGATCTCACGTCATATAACTGGCAGTGTGGTCTAGTGGTAGAGCGCCAGACTCGTAATCTGAGGAACCAGGTTCGAGTCCACTAGAGCCATGTAAGCATAGAACGTTTTTCCGATAGCTGCGCCTCTCCGTGCAAGATAGGCTCTTGTGCGGAGAAAACTGGGCTTCGTCTTTCGGAAAGAGACGTTAAGCCGTTGGTCCAAAGGGTTAAAATCAGAGAAGAAGGATAGTATTGGTAGTAGATTGCGAACCCTACGGGAATATGCAATAAATTACAAATTTTACAGGAATTTTTTTTTTACATATCAAAGCAATATTACTGCAGAACAGCTATAGAACACGTAGAAATATTTTTTGTTTAATGATGTTTCGTTAAACACGTCGATTTCGGACGCCATACGCCGAGACTTTGGCCTGATACTATCGCGAGAGTGTCATTCAAGTAGTCCATCTGCAACATAAAAACATGAACAATTACATATAATATATCTAATGCGATGTACAATACTGCGAGATAAAACTTACAAAGATAAAAATAAAAATTCAAATTAAACATATTTACAAAGATAAAACCTGATTTCATCATAATTAAAATTTAAATGTAAGTAAAAAACGTGTATCTTGTACTTTTCAACTGTATTTCTCATTTTGGCCTAGTTTACATCGATCACTTGATACGCCTATTAAATAGTAAATAACAAGTAAATTAGTTTGATTATATTAGCTGATCAGCTCAAATATACTATTAAATACGCGTAGAAATTGGTGTAAACTAGGCTTTTATACGTAGATACTTAACGAATCTTTTCATCAAAGTCAATGATACATTTTCGACAAATCTTACGCGTGTAATACTCACGCTGTTGATATTTCCGTATCCTGTACGTAAAGTAGCGATGAGCTTTGGCGGATCCGTAGGGCTCGAAATTCTGACGATGCCGTCTTTGGAACTCGTTATTAGGCATCCGTGCGTCAGACGCACTCCCCTTATCGAGTCCGTATGCTCGGTGGAATAAGATTTCACTAGCTCAAAATTGTTCTTTGGATTTAGCATGTGCAACTTCGCGCCTTGGTGTCCCCGACGCAAACCCAATTATCCCGTCGCATACTCATGCACGTGGGGGTCGCTTCATCTGGAATCTAAATGGTGCACCTTCGACATCATAATCCCGTCTTATTTCTCGATGTTAAGACTACAGGATGACATTACTGTGATAGACTTCATGGTCCGTCCGGCTCTCTGATCCCAAACGGATACCGTCTTGTCCTCGCTGGCGGATAAGATGTATTCCGTGTTCATGGCCAGCTTAGCCACGTATCCAGTGTGGGGTTGGTACTGGTATTTCGGCTTATTTCTTAATCTTGAATCGAACACGTATATAGTCCCCCAGGATGAGCCGGTCGCAAACAGGCTCCGCTACGAACACGATGACACACTTGTGCAACGCGTATCTCTCCTGTTTAAAATAATAGATACAATATGATCAGATTACATTATATTACATTCAATTTCAATGTAAATTAATAAGGTTTTATTCATTTACATTAAAATTGAATGTAATACAATGTAGTCTGATCATATTGTATCTATTATTTTAAACAGGGTCTTGAAAGAAAAGCCCCACATTCTTTAAGTATTATATGTTCATTAACTGTGCTACATTGTTGTCTACATTTGTGCCATTTTGTGGCAAAAACCTCATCTCGACAGCTTGGCGCATATTATATAAAAAATAACAAAAAACGAAATTTTTAACCCCGTACTTATTGAATTTTGAGTGTTTTTTTTAACTCTGGTCGTATTGGACTACAATTGTGTTAATATTTGCCATAAATGTGAAAGCAATATTATATACTGTATTCAAGAAAATAAAAAAAAATGTTTTGATAGCACTGCACTATTTTTTGATTAAGCTCAATTTTTTTTAGTAAAAAGATAGTAATCTGTGCCATATTGTGCTGAGATGTAAAAAGACATCGATATACCTATCTATTTAGTAGAAAAAAATCAAAAAATATAATTAATAACCGTAAACAAATATTGTTATAACATAACGCATTTATTGTATTTCTATACAAATTTTATTATATTGCATTGATAACAGATAACACAAAACAAAGCGAACATTAGCTATAACCAAAGAATCCTATATTCTTTGCCATAACTCAAGGAATCGATAAAAATCAATCATAAGAAAGGAGGTAAAACGGAAATTTAACATTTTCGAATTTTAAAAAGTTTGTGTCGGGTTGTGCTCAATAAGCACAACTTTTTCTAATGACAAAAAATTATAGGACTTTACAGTTACTGTACTGTTAGAAATTTAGGTTTTAGGAATAAAAAATATTAAAATCTCATACTATCCGAACAGTGGCAGATAATCTAGTTTTGTAAACTATGTTGAGTTGTGCTAAACGAGACAAAGAAACGGCAATTCGAACAATGACGGCAAATCAAGGGGGTTGGATATAATCCAGCGAAAGGGAGAAAAAGGACACCACACATTTCTTATGAAAATTGAATTTTGGTGAAATTGACTAAAACTTTAGAAACTGTCTGACTCTATTTCCAAAGTTTCAACTAATTTCGCCGAAATCCAATTTCCATAAGAAATGTGCGGGATTCTTTGGCAGCACAACTATTAAAAATTTGAAAATGGCAAATTCTTGTCTTACCTGCTATCTTATAATTGATTTCTTATCAACCCCTTGAATTATGGCTATTATTATTTTTTTTTGTGTTATCTGTTGTCACCACAACATAATATACAACTTGTAGAAATATAATAAATGCCTTATAACAATATTCATTTATAATTATGTTTATTTTTCGATTACTTGGTAATAAATGGATGGATATTTTCTCGACGGCATTTTCAACAACATGGAACAAGTTAGTATCTTTTTACAAAAAAAAAATTGAAGTTAGTCGGTCAATAACGCGGTTAACAAAGTCTTGCTTTCTTTACTTCCTTAAATACGGTTTAAAATATTGTTTTCGTATTTATAACACAAATTAGCACAATTGTAATCAAATACACAGTCAAATAGAACTCAAAATTCAACAAGTGCGGAGCTCTCTTTATAGAGGTCACGCGCTCCCGGAATATTTGAAAATAATACTATTCCAGTCAAATAATATACCTAAAAGGAAGAGAATTCTGCAAAAAGTGTTATCTGAAATGTTATTGCTGAATATTGTAGGAAAGGTGTTTAGAAGTAGAATACCGATCTTTCTCACTCGAGATTTCTTGAAATTTAGTTATAAACAAAGGATAAAGGTGGCGAAAATTGATTTTTTGCCTCTAGAACTTGCCTATTAAATTGAAACAAAATTTGACCTGAATGGAAGTTGTAAAAGACCTAAAAAATGAGCCATGTCACATTAAGATTGGTTAATTTATTAATTGCAAAAAATTAAAAACCTCCAAAAAGGCTCTTTTCCATTTATTTTTAATTCTTACAGATTTGAGCCTAGGATTCTGAAAATGTGGTAAAAGCTGCTCCTCGCCATGCTGATAATGCATAAATTTTTTTCAGCCCAAAACGTTTTTAAATTTTTGCAAAAAGCTGTTTATTATATAAATTTCCCGACGGAGAAGATGTATCCGTGTTCATGGCCAGCTTATACACGACTTCGGGGCGTGGCCGGTATTCCCTGATCGGCTTATTACTCAATCTCTAATCGAACACGTATATAGTTCCGCAGGATGAGCCGGGCGCAAAGAGGACCCGTTCTAGACACAATGACATGCACGCACCCCACTCAGCACACTGCTGGAATGTTTAACGTTGATAGGAAATGATACGCGCGAAATGCAATAATATGCAGTAAATACAGTTTGACACACGTGAACTTTATAATCACGTTTCTGAATCATCTGTCTCGATAAGCGAGACTTAGAACGCAGTATCTGCATGCGAACAATTTGGAGGAAAACAGTTATTTCTTCTACAAACAAAAATCTTTCTAGCTCAGTCTTCTTATGGCGAAGCTGCCGAAAGGAAGTTTTGCTATCATACATATAGCGAGTTCTCCGATGGACGAGACCAGTGTTGGTGAGCGTCCACGACTTAACACTCTGATTTCAATTGCAACCGTAGATCGTGTTGTCTATCGCTGTCAGATCTAAGATTATATCGTCAGTTCGCTTCTAGTGGCTGACCATTTCATCAAAGGGTTTCTCGTCGGAGGATAGTTTCCAGTAAACAAGAGAGTACTCCTGATGTCCATACATCAAGTCTGATGTTGTACTATAAGCTATACAGGTGGTTCCATTCTGAAAACGAGAATCATATCATTATATCGTTTTTCACAGGGAGAAATGGCCAAAGACAAATGACATAATATACTTACTACCTCCAGTAACACTGGACCGAATTGTGTATCCGCATCGCCCACATCTATCAATTTCTCCATAGAATCCTGCTGTTTCCATAGCGCGGTTTGTTTGTCGATCGCACTGCATGACAACTTCCAAAATAGTTTGTCGGGTCTCGCTGTAATGACATGTGACATGTGACTTCATATGTCTAAGAAATATGATGGAAGCTACTTATTCGTGCTATAATATTGAGTACAAAAAAAATGCATATATATACAATTATTTAAGCACAAATAAACTATTATACAAGCATATTCTTGATACAGTTAGCTCTATTCACGTTTTTATTTTATGCATATAAAGTTATTGCAATAAATGGAGTTGCTCAAGCTTGCTCTATGCGATTTATTATTAAATAAGAAATATATAATATTTTGTAGAAAACACGCTTTCTTTTTTAAGAAATGAAATACCATATAAAATTTAACGCAATACAAGTAACGACCTACGTATGCTTGCGCAAGTTTGAACAGCGCTGGTGTAAAATGGCTTACAGAGTGTTTTATTTATTCATATAAATAATTGATCGTGCAAGCTGTATATTATACCGATAGAAAAATAGTCATATAACATCATATAACGAAATTGAGAGTGCTACAAATATGTCTCAATATTTGCAGCAACACTAACAGAAATTTAGACCTTTGATAAATATTAGCACAAATAATTTCTAAATTATATTTCAGCAAGATAGCAGCGATATAAAGAATCTAACTATCTTAGCGGAATATTTGCAAAATTAAATTTGGAAAGAAATTGCGAAATAATTGAGAAATATAATTGAGTTTTATTATGTGTTATTCGTAGCATATTCTGTGCTGGGTCGCTGATATATATATTTATATATATAGATGGTATTTTTTTTTGTATGTCAAATATAATAATGAACGATGGTATATATGTAACTGTTATATATCGATGTTTGCTGAAGTGTGCTGAAGTAATTTTGCTTCTAAATGTTGAAATAATTGTGTAAAATTTAAGCCTAAAATTAAACTTCTCAATTTTTGTGTAAATATATATTATTCAAAAATTTTATGCCGGCAAGAACGCTTATAAAGAATCATCTTAGCACAATAATTGTGAAATAAATTCCTTTCAATTGAATGATGCAATTATTGTAACAATATTTGCATAATTTTCCTATCGGGGAATTAAATACAAATAAGCTACAAGCACATTCTTGATATAGATCTATTCACGTTTTTACTTTATGCATAAAGTTATTACAATAAATGGAATTGCCCCATGCGATTTATTATAAATAAGAAATGTATAATATATTTTGTAGAACATGCTTATTTTTTTTTAAGAAATGAAATACTAAGTACGAAATAAAATTTAACGCGATGTAAACAACGACCTGCATATGCTTGCGCAAGTTCGAGCAGCGCTGGCGTAAAATGACTTATAGAGTGTTTTATTTATTCATAAAAATAATTGATCATGCAATGCGTAAAGTGTTATCAATTTGAGCAAACCGGAACGCAAAAGCGAGTGGATATAGCATTCGGCCATATGTGGTTAATTCGCGCTTTCCACATATGCAGTAATTAAGGCATATATCATCCTTTAAAATCAGGTAGAACTGTTTGCACACTAAGCTCAAACCGTGTACTAGTGTACAACTTGAATTAAGTACAAATAAACTGCAAGCACATTCTCGATCGAGAGATCTATTCAAGTTCTTACTTTATGCAATAAACGGAGCTGCTTAGGCTTGTTTTTTGTAAATAAGAAATATATAATGAACAAACCGAATATAATGGCTCAAAAGATTAAAATTCAAATGTCAAATAAGGAGCTATATATGAGAGCCAACGCGAGATTTTCGTGCTTTCTCTTATCTCTATTTCTTCTTTTTAAATATTACACCGCCTCCAAATAGTATCATGCTTACTAACCCATGAATTATGGACCACGATGTAACACGAGTAAAAAATACATAAAACATCTTAAATAACGGCGATACTAGACGACACAAGTTGGAATGCGAAATACATCTCAAATCAATTTTGACAATAATATGGAAGGAAATTAACGGGGAATGCTGACTTGTAGTAACACTGAAGATGATCCAATGTTAGGATCAAAACGTTTGTAATGTTTAAAAAGAACAAACAGAGATAAGAGAAAGCACGAAAATCTTACGTTGGCTCTCATAGCTCCTTATTTGACATTTGAAATATATAATGTCTTGTAAAACACTTTTTTTAAGACGAACAGAAATGAAATACTACAAAATAAAATCTAACATGAGGTAAGCAGCTAATGTACAACTTGCAAATGCTTGCGGAAGTTTGAACAGCGCTGACGTAAAATGACATAAGGGCCAGAGCACAAAGATTGTCGTAACCGTTTACGATTCTGTTGTAAGTCATAAGCCGGTGTCGGAAGTCAACGCACAAGAATTGACATTAGCGTATGTCGTATCCGTCGCGTATGCGACACGATGGATACGACATGTGCTAAACGATTACGACAATCCTTGTGCGTAGGCCCTTAGAAAACGTTTTATTTGTTAACAAAAAGGATTGGTCGTGGTATAACACGCTATTAATTTAAGCTAACCATCAGGACACAAGAGCAAGTGGTTAGCATTCGACCATATGTGGTTAAATCGCGCTTTCCACATATGCAGTAAGGCATCATCCTTTAAAATCAGGTAGAACTGTTTGCACACTAAGCTCAAACCGTGTACTAGTGTCGACGCGTCTAGGAAGGAACATATATGCAGGAATATCTGAAATTTTGTCCAAAAAAATAATTAACGCTCAACAATGTGCGTTCGGGGAGCTCACTGTCGTGCTAGATGCAAACGCTAATTCGGGAAGCTGAGTGGTATCCACGGTTGCAATCTCCTCAAATGATTTTTGTTGTGCGCGGCAAGTATAAGAGAGGGATATATAATTGTTGTTTTATTCTATCATACAATATGTACGTGCAATTGTATTCTTTGCCATTTTACGAGCAGTAAAGATGTACGACTATAGTACAAGATAGTATATATAATATTCGTATCTTATATTGTTCATTCTTCCCACAGTATGTAAATGTAATATTATATAAATTACAGACGATAACGTGAAATAATTTTCATTTAATAACAATTATTCAATATATTACATATATATTTATTACATTTCTAGTATTGAGGTCGATACGGTTAAAGTCAACTGAAAACAACACGTGCACTTGTGCAAGTTGAGTGAGACAAAAGTAGATGCTCACACAATGATCAGGGAAGACGTTATGGTGCTATGAGTACTGCGAGCATTTCGCGCTCTACCTCGGAGCGCAGGTGATGACGTCGCAACGCACAAGGGCTGCATTCGAGGAGCGCGCTATTAGCGCTATTGCATCATTCTGTCTTTATCGCTTATTAGATGTAAAACAAGGATAGAATAAGCAAATAACGCTAATAGCGCGCTCCTCGAATCCAGCCATTATGTACTTCTAATTTCGCGGGACGTTATATTACATTGTACATTAAAGAGACGCATCCAGACAGTATCTTTGTAAAAACTAAGAACATACATTACATATCGAAGAAATACAGCTGTAGAATAGCTATAGAACACGTATAGAAATTTTTCGTCGAACACGTCAATTTTTCGGGCGCCATATCTCGATACCCTGGCCGGATACTGCGAGAGTATCATTCAAGTAGTCCATCTGCACATAAAAGACGCAAACAATTACGTATAATACCTAACAAAATTTACGATATTGCAAAATAAGACCTGTAAGAATGTCGTCAATCTTACGGAAGACTTCACCAACATTTGAAAGACAAAAATAAAACCTGATTTCGAAATTTAAATGCAAGTAAAAATTTAATTATTAAACTGTATTTTTCATTTTATACGTAAACGTTTAACGAATTTCATTCTTCGAAATCGATAGTATTTTCAGTAAATCTTACGCGTGCATATATTTATACTCACGCTGAAGATTTTTGCGTTCATCTCTGAAGGGAAAAAAACGCATACCATACGACTCTGTGCCGTCCAATCTGAAATTGGATGGCGTCTGTCTGTGCCGTTTAAGGGTCTCAGGCATCCTCCGTACTTCGAACAGACAGATTGCGTCATATCGAGCATGTTATACGGATGCTCGAAAAAAGATTCCATTCGCTAGAAATTGACCTTTAAATTTAACCGTGCAAGATATTGCAAAATAAGATTTGTTAGAATTAAGGAGGACTTCACCAACATTCAGAAGACAATGATAAAACTTAATTTTAAAATATAAATGTAAGTAAAAATTTAATTTTTAACGTTCGAATTGTGTCTTGCACTTTTCAACTGTATTTCTCATCTTATACGTAGACATTTCACTTTTTTCTTCAAAGTTAATGTTACGATATTTTTCGCCAAATCTTACGCGTGTGATACTCACGTTGAAGGTTCCTGGTTCGGTACAATGGACTAAAGTAGCGATGCACCTTGGCGGATCCGTAGGGCTCGAAATTCTGACGGTGCCGTCATAGGAACTCGTTATCAGGCATCCGCGCGACAGATACACCCCCGTTATTTCTCGCGTATGCTCGGTGGAATAAGATTTCACTAGCTCTAAATTGTTCTTTGGATTTAGCATGTGCAACTTCGCCTTGGTGTCCCCGACGCAAACCCAATTATCCCGTCGCATACTCACGCACGTGGGGATCGCTTCACCTGGAATCTGAAAGGTACACCTGCGAAATCGTAATCGTGTCTCGTTTCTTGGTATTAAAAATACGGGATGACATTACT